ATTCGAAACAGCGCAACCAGGGGCTAGGAACAACATAGTTGGGTTTCCGATGCTGGGGGCCAGTTTCCCAGACAGACCGTTCTTACTTTCTGCCTTGGTCCGCACACCCTAAGCACCATACCCCTAACCATCGCCGCCCCAAACCCTATATCCTAAACCGTTGACCCCCCCCCAAAACCAAAAAAAAAAAAAAAAAACAACAACAACAACAACAACAACAACACAAGCAAAGAAGATACGCAGAATCATAACATGCGGAGGCCCAGAGCCTGTACATCCGCGAGCTGCAAGCAATGGAGGTGACTTGTACATGGTTTACCTGGGGCTCCGGTTACCTGTGATTTTGGGAGGCATGCCCTCTATCTACGGGGTTATAAGTTATAACCTTGCGTCACAGCTTGGGCCTAAGGTTTGGGGTCGGATTTTTTTTGACACACTCAGGGTGCAAGCGTCGGGGGTCAGAGACTAGCCTTCCTGCACCTTGCCGAGGGTACCCGAAACACCAACCGCCTGAACCCAACGAGGCGCCAGAGTTCACGAAAAGATTTGGAGTTTGTAAAGTAATGTAAAGTAATATAGGGGTCTGAATGATTAGATTTTTTTTGGAAGGGGGGGGGTGATTATAGCATAAATACAAAGGGGCCATAAGGGAATATGATTGACTAACACTTGTTCTGTAATCATTCCGACCCCCTATATTCCGTCGCCGGCGCTGTGTCCGCCTGAAACCATGAACAAGTGCACCCAAAACCACCAAGAACCCGAGCCCAAACCTTCATTATCTTGAGGTCTGCCCCAATAGGCCTTTGACGGTTATGTTTATGATTGTTTATGTTTCTTCATACGGCTCCCGTGAATTAAGCGAAACGACTTCGCAGCTCAGTGTCTGGGTGCAAGGAGTGTGGCTTAACGCCAGCCTTCGCCCTTTTGGGGTCTTAAGCCAGGGTGTTGCGTATAGTTGTTCTTGTTTGTGGGGAGGGGGGGGAGGGACGGGGGGTAAAGGGGTCGGGGGTTGGGGTCAGCTCGAGTTGCGATCGCTGCTCCAGGCATGCAAGTCCCAGGGGCGTCGAGGCATGTCCTAAACCCCACTCCCTGAACCAAAACCCGAAACCCGAAACCCGAATTCCCAAGCCCTAAACAACACAGCCCTTCGGCCCTCTAGCTTCCAGAGGTGGGAATCAAAGATGGTTAACTATTCCGGTTTGTCCTACGCTCCCTACACACGACATCAGACACCTTTGCAATTTGTGCAAGGGTTGGGCACATGCCTCCTCTAGCAAAAGCCAACCCCAGATGAGTTTCTTTATTTTTCTGGAATTGTAGTTGGCCCGATTTAAAGTTATGTCGTTCTGGTTAGGTGTTTTGAGGTTTGGGGTTGAAGCTTTCATAATTTGCGGGGGGGGGGGGGTTAAGACGGCTTCCACCCCAGACTTTCATCTTCAAACCCTACAAACGCCCAGCCTTTAGCCGAGGAACTTTATGGCCCGAGCCATCCAAAAACACAAAAGAGCCGCAAGAAGTTGGAGCGCTTCCTCAGGCGAGGAGGGTTGAGGGCATTTGCGTGGTTCAGGGGTTAGGGTGTCAGGGTTCAGGGTTGAGGGTTTTAAGGCTGTATAGGGTTTGAGGGCTTAGGGCAATGGGGCGGCAGAAGGCATGCCCCAGTTGCATGATGGAGGTGGTTTCACCTAGCGAGGGGTATTGCTGTGGATTGGTTCACGACTGCAACCCTACAGCCTAAAACCTTAAACTTTAACCAAATTATCAAGCCCGTTTCCGGCTTACCTACGCGAACCCTAAACCTTAAAACCTAGAACCAATGCCCTAAACCTAAGTCTCACTTCTGGGAATTCGGATTCAGGACCTTGCACAAACAATCAAAGCCTTGATTTTGGTCTTGAGCGTGTAAGGTTTTCGAGTTGACTGTTCAGGGCTTCTTTCTACTTCTTAAGAACCCAACGCCCGTTTTGTTTTGTGGGGGTAGGTTCTAATTAGTAGATCTCGCGCTTACAGGAATCAGACGAACCATACCAAAAAGTTAGGTTTGGGGACCTTAGGGTAGCCCCAAAGCGAAGAAGCACTTTGAATCCGGGCGCCACGTGACAGGGCCGTGCGAGAGTCATACCCGGAGGAGCCAGAGGAGCGGTTGATGGGGCTGTTAGGGTTTCGGGTTTAGGGTGTAGGCTTAGGGTTTAGGGTTCAGCATTTCCGGATCGAACTATAGTGCAGTTATATGTGCAGCTCTTCTATAACACCCACCCACCCAGAAAATTCAAAAATATTGCTCCAATCATACAACAAAATTCTGCAGCTTCAAGTAGCTCATAGCTCATACCTTCTCGTCGAAGCTGTACCTGTCAAATCTAAGTCAAGTCTGAGTTTCTTAAGTACCTTGACTTGAAATGAACGGACACAACAAAGCACGTGATTTTGTTAACCTCATTTTCTGGTCGCTGCATCTCTTTAAACTCCAACCATACAACAAAGTTCTATTCACGAAGACTTGTGTAATTGGTCAACTCTTGGCTTTAGCCAGTTTATCCCCTTCCCACCCTCGAACATCAACCAAGACCGCTTTACTTCATAGCCTCAATCTTTTTGACGCTCGGACAGTCCTTCGTGGTTTCTGGCCTTGAACCGGAAACGATTGGTCTTGAACCACGAACGATGGGAATTGAGCCGCGGACGATTCGCCTTGAACCACGAACGGTTGGCCTTCAACAACGAACGGTTGGCCTTGAACCACGAACGATTGGCTTCGAACCACGAACGGTTGGCCTTGTACCACGAACGATTGGCTTTGAACCACGAACGGTTGGCCGTGAACCACGAACGATTGGCCTTGAACCGCGAACGATTGTCTTTTAGAACCACGAACTATTTGCCTTGAAGCACGAAGTGAATTCATATATGATAGGGAGGGCTTAGGGTTTAGTACATATGTGCGTGTCAGCAACATATTTTCCGTAGCGAACCTGCGAACGGCTCACCAAAGTAGTAGTCATCGTGTTCATGAACCCCTTTTGAGATGATGCGCGCACCAGAACACAACTTTTAAAAGGGTTAGTTAGACTAAGGGTTTATGCACCTCATTATTATACACTTGGTCCCCAAGGTACCCCAATAGAAAAACAGTTTAAGGCCCAAGTATCCCCACTCAGGTACATGGACCTTGAGGGTTACAATTCCCAGGTGCAAAGGCAGGTTCAGCACGCCCTTCGGAGGTTTGAGTAGTTCAGGGAGGGTCTTTACGGTCTTTCGGTTTCCAGAAAGTCGGTGGTCACTCCATCGGGTTGAACTCCCTCATGACTTTTCAGGCACGAAGGATCGGAACCCTTGTTCATTCTTACGATACTTCGCAACTGATAGCAACAGTGAGGTTCTGAAACCCGACGCCCAAATTCGAAAACCACTTCTTGGTGTCACCATATGCGTTAGGTGATTCTCTGCGGCTTTCGGTTTCTCATTCCAAAAACTTCAACCTTGAACCCTAAACCCTATAAACCCTAAACCCAGTACCCTAAACCCTAAACCCTAAGCCCTAAACCCCTAACCCCTAAACCCTAAACCCTAAACCCTATACCCTAAACCCTAAACCCTAAACCCTAAACCCTAAACCCTAAACCCTAAACCCTAAACCCGCACCCTACTCCAGAAGGCCCTAAGAGCCCAATCCGTTCCCACCTCCTAGGAGCCATCCCCTGCGGTCTCCGAGACAGCTGAGGCGAAGCAATGTGGGGTTTGGGGTGTTAGGGTGTTAGGGTGTTAGGGTGTTAGTGTGGCCACTGACAATATCCATTTATCAGGTTTGTTAGGATGTTAGGATGTCAGGGTGTTAGGGTGTTAGGGTGTTCGGGTGTTCGGGTGTTAGGGTGTTAGGGTCTCGAGTTTGGGGATCAGGGTTTAGGGTTTAGGGTTTAAGGTTGGGAGGTTCGGGCTTACAAGGGTTTAGGGTTTAGGGCTGAGCTTGAGGGTTTGCTCGGGTTTTGGGTGCAGGTTTTTCGGGTTTGTGTTCATATGGACTTCAGAATAGAAACCCCATGGTGAGGCAGCCCTGACTAGACCATAAACTATTTATGGTTGTATTAATATTTCCTTACCCTTAAGGGTCACCGAGTAGAGAGCGGCTCAAACCAGCCTTCCCTGGTTTTCGGCTCTTTGGGGCCTGGTGGTGGTGGTTGTGGTGGTGCGTGCGATGTTTGGTTTTGGGTTCGGCATTTTTTCATATCTAGTCCTCTTGGTAGGGCCTTCTGTTTATATTTGGTTGTGGCAAGGATGCTTCCCCTCACTGCGTTTTAGCCTCGCCCAAAAGGTCCGTCCAAGGCCTTTGGTTGCAAGGTTTAACTTGTGCAGGGGGTTATGGGTTTACGAATTTAGAATAGTTGAGTGAGTACACTTTACACTTTTTGGGATACTATAATTCCCTATAGAACTGAAAGTGTACACATTTTTGGGGGCTTACGAACTCAGCAACCAAGATTTGAAGGTTCAGGGGCCTCATCTTGGCAGGACGCACCAGCTGGTGGCGAGGAGGAGGACGAGGAGCAGGCGCAGCCCAAAAGCCACGGGCAGAAGAGAACAGCCCTAGTAGGTGCTGTTTTGAAGTTCACCCCCCTAGCCACCGGAAGCTGTTTTATGATGTACAAGGCTACGCAGGCTGTAGCTTTGAGTTGTTTTGGCTTGTGGCGCTTGCGGTTTGTAGTGCTTGACAAAGACGATCTCTACATCTTCGAATTCCCCCTGCCGTCTTAGCTGTAAGCCCTATAATTTCGAAACCCGAATCTTAAACCCTAACCCCTGCACCCCACTATTCTTCAGGGTAGGATCCTTGCCCTGCAAGTACTGCACAGTGCACACCGCAAGGAAGTGAGGTAGGACCTTGGCAAATATCCTTGATGTGCCCTCATTGGGTTGAAGAGACGCTTATGTAGGCTATGTAGGAATTTGTTCGCAATGTTTATACTGTTGAAGCTGCCGACCTCGTAAGAGCAAAAACGCCCGCCATGCAAGGATCACCTGCGCCCTCCTTTTTTGTTTTTTGCTGGGGGGAGGGGTGGGGCCGGGCTATAAACCATATATAAAACTCCAGGCCCGCAGTAGCTGCGCAGAGCAGGGAAATGGGGGACTTGGAGATCAGCTTTAGCAAGGCTGCATTCCCACTCGAGTTTCTGCAACATTCCTAGTTTCCGTCGCTGCATCTGAGACCACCCAAACCCAAACTTTCATTTTTTTGGGGTGATGTACCGGCTGTTCAGTTTCGACATCGCAGCGCACGCTGGACTGTCAACATGGCTTGTTGTACATCTTCCCGACTTGCAGGACAGCAGAGGTGCCAGCCGGAAATCGACGCGAAAAGGCCGGGACGGGATGGCCGGGGGCCCAAAACCCAGAAACGCCTCCTGCGTTCCGCCAGGTGACGTATCTGCGTCGGACGAGGAGGAAGAGGAGGAGGAGAAGCAGAGCGCGCAGGACCATGGTACCAAATGCAGATGCTCTTTGTGGCACACTATTTACTTGATTAGCAGATACCATCAAGCAAGTACTCGTCGGGGTGGTAAGGTGTTCTTGCTTGCTTCAACCAGATTTGTTGTGGCATGTCTTCGAAATTGCTGGAGTTCGTGCTCTTGTTGCCAAAAGCCATTTTTCCCGAAGTGCTAGGGGTTCACAAGCCCGGGAGAGAGTCTACGTGATGTACAAGGTGGACCTACGGCCTAAGCCTAAACTCCCCAGACCCGACACTCCGAAACCTTAATCCCATAGAACTCTGCAGTGTAGGCCCTCATGTCCCCAAGCCCGAGCTGCCCGAGCTTGCACTTCCAAGCAGTAAACCCTATACCCTACACCCTAAACACTTACAACCCTAAACCCTAAACCTCTAAACCCTAACCGCTTCTCCTTTTTATTCAATACACCCTAATTTTTAAACCACTTTCTGGAAAATCCTCCCGAAATCACCCCCACAATTTATAGCCTATTCCGAATTAGGGGGTGGGTTGAAGTCCCCCAAGGCCCTCAAACCAACCAACATCCTGAAACTCCCTTCCCTCTCTCTCTGTCCCTTTCTCTCTCTCTCTCTCTTTCTCTCTCTCTCTCTCTCTCTCTCTCTCTCTCTCTCTCTCTCTCTTTCTCTTTATCTCTTTATATGTATTTCTCTTTCTCTCTCTCTCTCTCTCTCTCCTTAAACCCTCCAAACACCCCAAACCATGACGTTTGGAAAAAAATATCCCCCTAATGGTAAAACCACATTTTGAGTTTCTCTTGGGGGGAGGAGGGGGGTTGGGCGACTAGAAATCATATATGTATTTGAAGTACATACATGCACCAGACCAACCATAGAATACGAGACCTAAACCCGCAACCCTCAACCCTCAACCCTAAACCCTAATCCGTAAACCCTCAACCTTCAACCTTCAACCCTCAACCCTCAACCCTCAACCTTCAACCCTCAACCCTGAACCCTGAACCCTGAACCCTAAACCCTAAACCCGAAACCCAAACCTTGCTGTACGACTCCAAGCCGCACTGTGATAGGGCTCGGAAGTCGACTGCGGGGCTCCGTCCCGGAAGGCGCCGCAGAGGTTTGAGTTTTTTTCAGGGTTCAGGGTTTAGGGTTTAGGGTTTGGGGTTTAGGGTTTGGGGTTTAGGGTTTGGGGTTTAGGGTTTGGGCGGGTTTAGGGTTCAAGGTTTATGTAGGGTTTAGGGCTGGGGGTTTTTGAGGTGCCACAATTCGGAACTTTCACGCGAGGCCGCTTCTCAGACCGAGAAACTGTTGTCTTGTTTGCAGGATTTGATATCAATAAATGCAGGCACTTTTTTTTCATTTTTTTCGGCGCAACGCTTGCAGGGTCAGGAAAGTTCCTCCAGCTCATTTTCTGGGTCTAGGGCTTAGAAGCTTAGGGCCTTTGCTTTGGGTTACTTCGGGTAAAGGCACTGTTATGAACTTGGTTGACAATTCGGGGAATAGGGCCTGCACGCTGATTTTGGTTCCGGAACTTGTGGCGCTGGAGTGTCGGAGGTCGGTTAGGGTGCGGGTCTTTCGAGACTTTCAAGCTCGTTTTTCAGTCGAAAGCTTCAAGCTTTTCGAAGCGTAGGTGCCTTCAGGGTTCAGCGTGTAGGGTTTATAATTGTCCAGGTTTAGTGTCTGGGGTTTAGACGTTTGTTTTGAACAGCACCGGAAGTGCTACAAAGGTTTAGTTGTTTCTTGAGCCGCAATCAAGCCTGATTCCCTAGATACCCACAAGAATACCCCACAAGCCTAAAGAACCATAAAACAACACATGCCCATGCTTCGTAACAGTTCCGTCCATGCGGGCCCTTCGGAGCTAGGAGAACTTGGGCTTTCAGACTTTGAGGTTTCATACCTTCAGCAGTTCGACATCTGAGGTTCGGGTTTATGATTCAGGGTTAAGGGCTTTGGAGCTTAGTCGGGGGCCTGATGATTGGGGTGCGGGGAAAGGGCGAGGCGGGAACGCAGGTTCCGGCCACTAGAGGTTGCTAGAGGCCTTGAGTTAGGCTCGCCCCAGCTCGCGTGTACGCTGAAAGGTGTCCTTGGCCTACTCGCTCTACCAGGAGGTTCGAAGTGGGCAACCCTGAACCCCAAACCCTACCTTGTGAACCTAAACCCTAAACCCTAAACCCTAAACCCTAAACCCTAAACCCTAAACCCTAAACCCTAAACCCTAAACCCTCGGGAGTTTGGGGCTCAGGCCCTTTGAGCTGCGAGAGTAGGGGTTAGAGTTTGCGGTAAGCCATAAACCCATACCCCTAAACCCTACCCCACTGGCCAAGTGGCGCTGCAGCTGGGATGTCCACACAAAGGTGCAAGGAACAAGAGGTTAGGGTTTAAAGTTCAGGGTTTAGGGCAGCAAAGAGCCTTCTCGTGAGCTTTACATCGTCTAGCGGCAACCGAGCTACCCTTAACCCTCGGTAGCCTTGTGGTGTTTTTTTTTGGGGGGGGGGGCTTTGGGTTTCTTTAAACATTCACCAACGAAAACAGGGTACCTTTATGGCAATATGGTTAATGGACCATCATAGCCATAGCTAAGACTTAACAAGCAAGAGTAAAGAACCAATAGTTGAGCAACTTCGTTCGGTTCTGGGAGGGTTTAATACGGCCTAGCTTGATCTGGCCTGCAACCCTAAACCCCAAACCCTAAACCCCAAACCCTAAACCCTAAACCCTAAACCCTAAACCCTATGAAATGCAGGAAGAGGTCCCTGCCGGGCCTTCAGAGTTGTGTAGGGAGTTGAGGGTTCAGGGCGCCGATAGTGGCCCTCAGGGCTTTCTTTTGGGGGTTTAGGGTTTAGGGTTTAGGGTTTAGGGTTTAGGGTTTAGGGTTTAGGGTTTAGGGTTTAGGTAAATCGGGGAGAGTGTAGGGCCCCAGGGTTTATAGGGTTGAGGGTGCCTGCGAGGCCGTCGACGAAGACGACTTGGCCGATGCCGCGTCGGAGCAGGAACCGGGTTCATGTGGGGCGCAGCCGTGGATGATGAGTTTTTGTTCGGCACCCCAAACCCTAAACCCTAAACCCTAAACCCTAAACCCTAAACCCTAAACCCTAAACCCTAAACCCTATACCCCATTCGGGTCAGGTTCAGGCCTTCTGTTGACCTAGAGCCGCAAGCTTATCACACTGGCGGTGCCCGTTTGTTTGCAGCTCCAGGTCCCAAACCCGGTCCGGTTTGAGTTTAGGGTTCAACGTTTAGAGTTTACGATTAACGGTTTGGGGTTTGAGTTTAGGGTTTGGGGTTTAGGGTTTAGGGGTTTAGGGTTTAGGGTGTAGGGTTTAGGGTTTAGGGGATTCAGGGCCTTAGGGGCTGACGGTGCACGCAGGGTTTTGGGGTTTGTGGTGTGGTGTTCGGAGCTTCCGGCTTCCGATGTGTCCGATACCCGAAGCCCTGCACCCTACAACCTTGGCAACTCGAAAAGTCCCATTCTCAGGGCCCTTCGGCCCAAGTAGCCACATTCGGCTTAGGGCCTCGTGTTTACGATTTAGGGTTTATGGTTTAGGGTTCATCACCTGCCCCCCCCCTGCCCCCCCCCGCCCCCCCCACCCAAAAAAACAAAACAACCACATAAGACAAACACAATCCAGGGCAGCGGCGGCCAGCACAGAGACGGAGCCGACGGCGACGAGGCCGCCAGCGATGGCGGGCATTCCGGCAAGGCCTGGAGTTCAGGGTTCAGGGTTCAGGGTTCAGGGTTCAGGGTTCAGGGTTCAGGGTTCAGGGTTCAGGGTTTTGTTTTTAGGGTTTAGGGTTTAGGGGCTATATAGGGCGTTAGGGGTTTGGGTGTTTAGTTGGGGTTCAGGGTTTGGGACCGGTTAAGGGTTTGGGTGTTTAGGTCGGGTTCAGGGTGTAGGGTTCCGAGCTGGGCATTTTCGAGTTTCGGGACCAGGGCTCCAACGTCATGCCCTGAGAGGAACCCCCTACATGTTATAGTTAAATATGATCATGGAATATGCCCCTGCTTTTTGTATGAAGCAGCCCATTTGTCAGTCTATGGGTTTAGGATTTGGGGTCTCAGGATTCAGAATTCATAATGTTAGGGCTCGAAGGTTTATGAAAGTATCAACATGCACATGTGTCTTTGTTCGCTCCTCACGAAGTTTTCGTCCCTTTCCAGATGGGCATGATGTGGCTCCTTACTGCAGTTCAATCATTCGGAATAGCTGTTCTAGACTTTGCTCTAGGGAGTTGAGTGGCATCAGGAGTGCACGTTTTGAATGGAGTTGATGTTGAAGATTCTTTGATGGCTAAGGGTTGATTTTGGGTATTTGGGGGCGCGACGAAGGTTGTTTCGGGTCAGAGTTGAAAAGCTACCCTAAGTCATAATTTTTTTCGGGCTCAGGGGCTTCAGAAGCTTCGCTAGAAGGGAATTTGGGATCTGCTTGATGGCCAGGATCCCTGGAGCTGTCGAGGTTGAGGAAGTGATTTCCCCAGCCCTCCTGTATCAGCTTCACAACGTGTTTGGTTTAGGGTTGAGGCTTTAGGGTTGCCCCGAAAATCTTAAGCTCTACCTGAGACCCATGCCGATGGCAGGCGTCTGTGGCACCCTCCATGTACCAACAGGCGTGCACCAGCCAGCCACGTGAGTTTTGGTATTGCTGGGTGGGTAGTGGCGACAAGGGCATAGCGAGACATGGGTTTGGGGATACAGCGGCTTGAGTTAGGGTGCCAGGATGCCATTCTCTTGTGCTTACTGTAAGCCATCAATTCCAAACCCTCAGCCTTATGATTGCCATGTAAGTTCGCAACAGAAAGCGTGGTGCTTTGCGCGAGGGGCTTCTACATGTGGATCTGTCTTTTGTGGGCCCCTTTTTTCAAAGGTCCACGTTCCAATCTGAATCTACCCTTAACTACCGGCCGGAGTACCAAAGCCCAGACGCCCTCCCTTTGGGTAGCCCAGTGGTACCCTTTCCCCTGTTATTAGTTCAAGATTCCCTTCCAAAGTAGCCAGTCCCCAAAAAAAAAGTGCCCTTGTTACAATGTGGTTGCTGGGCTACCTTGGCCTCCCCATACAGGGTTCAGGCCTGAAAGTTTAAGCAGCAGAGGGCTGCAGGCTTGCTGTGCCCATGTCCTTGTTTAATGCCAGTAGCTTGAACTTTGCAGGTTTTTGGGGTGGTTTCCCGTTTTCTGAGTAGGAAGAATGCAGTTTGACCCTTTCTTTACATCCCTGTATATTGGAGAGAAGTGAGTTGTCCTACATTCTAGAGGCCGTGGATATCCCGACCCTGGGCTCTTGTTTAGGCACGGCGCTAGAAAGAAGTTACCAGTACCACAAGAGGGATTATGTACTGGGATGTTCCCTCTTCTACTAGCAGTCCTTAATGGGCATTAAGAGTACTGTGCCCCTTGTTACAATCCCTGTTAAGAACTTTTAGTATAAGGGGGAACATCCCAAGTTATATCGCAAGTAATGGGCATTTCCAAAAAAGGGGTACCACCCCTTTTATACCCCAAATAGAATAGAACCCCCTTAAAGGGATCCCCCAAAAAGTGTACCCCCTCTGTTCGGAACCCCCCCCCAATTTACACTCTAAACCCTTTCAAACCCTAAACCCTAAACCCTAAACCCTAAACCCTAAACCCTAAACCCTAAACCCCAAACCCCAAACCCCAAACCCTAAGCGGAGGCCGTGGAGTCGGAGGAAGAGGAGGAGGAGCCGGATGATCCCGAGGCTGACGGGAGACAACCGGGCGTAATATACCCTCGAGGATAAAAACCCTACCCACCCCAAGGGCCCATGCATCAGAACCCTTTAAAGAAGGTAAGGGACCATACTAAGGGACCACCCTAAACCCTAAACCCTAAACCCTAAACCCTAAACCCTAAACCCTAAACCCTAAACCCTAAACCCTAAACCCTTTAAAGAAGGTTAGGGACCATACTAGGGGACCAGGGACCATGTCACTAGCCGTAGACCAAAGAGAAGCAGTCCAAGCTATCAAGGTTGAAGGCTAAAGGCCCCGCCTTGTGACTCCCAAGCCCTACAGAGTGGTAGGGTTTAGGGTTTAGGGTTTAGGGTTTAGGGTTTAGGGTTTAGGGTTTAGGGTTTAGGGTTTAGGGTTTAGGGTTTAGGGAGGTTCTAGCCCCCCTAAACATAAGGCTTACCCCCCCCCCCCCCCCCCGGGCAAAAAAAAAGTTGGTATCTGGAGCCTCTCGGCCCCAAACTCTGCAAACTCTACAAGGCCTAGAAACCCCCCATAAACATGCCAAACTCTCCCAACACTGTAAGCTCTATAAAGCCCCATAAACGCCCTGAGCCCTGCAAACCCATAAGCCCTAGCACCCTAGACCCAAAAACCCAAAAAACCCGAAGGCCCAAACCTAAAGTACACAAAGCCCGACAAACCCTGCAAACCCCAAACCCTACTCACCCCGTAAACTCCGAATTCCCAAGGTAAACCCGAAAATCCTTAAACCCTCAACCCTAAGCCCTGTAGACTGCTAATTCCTACCCCCCCTGCCAAGGGCCCATACTCAGGGACGAGTTAGCTGCCCTAATTCGGGGCCTGGAAGGTCCATGTAGAGCTGCCAGACTGGCTACGAAGACCTTCAACGTCAGGTTTTAGGGTTCAGGGTTTAGTTTAGGGTTTAGGCTTCAGGGTTTAGGGATTGGGGTTCGGGGTTTAGGATTAAGGGTTTAGGGTTCCGGGTTTAGGGTTCCGGGTTTAGCTGGGATCTGCATGCCTCCGCGAAGCAGTTGCCTGAAGGGCACGCAAGCGACGGCGTGCGTGCGCATTGCAGGCATGATAGTCAGTACTAGTAGTCTTTCGTTGCGTGTGTTGCGGACTTCAACCTGAAGCATAGACCCCCAAAAGAGCCTTAATTCAAAGGGAGATGCCATTCTTGCAGATATGGGCCCTTAAAGTTCGAACGCAGTACTCCTCAAAACTTACATTCCCCATTAAACGCTACATGAACCGTATCACAGCCTCGGCAGTTCATCTCAGATACATGATCTTTGCGTTTTTGATGCCTGTATGAACCCTAAACCCTAAACCCTAATCCCTAAACCCTAAACCCATTGTTGGCACTCCCCCACCCTCGATCATGAAAGTGTGAGTTTAAGAGGGACCCTTCTGCCACTTGTTGTTTTCAAAAGAGGGGCCAGGTTTCCCTTTCAAGCCCGCCAAACAAACAAACAAGGGCGAAGCCTTACTCTTCTTATCTTGCCTTCTTAGGGGCACCTGGTTTCCTAGTTTTGTGTTACCACAATAACGCCCTAAGCCTGGCTTCGCTTGAACGAGGAAGCTAAACCCTGAACCCTACACCCTAAACCCTAAACCCCAAACCCCAAACCCAAAACCCTACACCCTAAACCCCAAACCCTAAACCCCAAACCCGAAACCCCAAACCCTAAACCCTAAACCCTAATTAAACCCTAAACCCTAAACCCTAAACCCTAAACCCTAAACCCTAAGCCTTGCAACCACGAAGGCCGTGACGATGAGGAGCCAGGTCGGCGAGGCGCCATCACGGAGCTGAGACTTTGTGTGTTTGGTATGTCTAGGGTTTAGGGTTTGGGGGTTTCGGGGTTTAGGGGTTTAGGGTTTTCAGGGTTTAAGGGTTTAAGGGTTTAGGGGTTTAAGGGTTTAGGGTTTAGAGTTTAGGGTTAGTCTAGGGTTTTCGGCTTTAGGGTTTGTTTAAGGGTGTCTTGGTTCATGGTTTAATGACGTTTCGTGGTGTGTTCGTTTGTTTGTGGGTTGGTTTGTTTGCTGGTTTGTTTGTTTCTTGCTTGTTGGATTGTTTTGGGTTTGAGGTGTAAGGTTGGGGGAGGCGGTTTCTGCTTCAGGGTTTGTGGGTTTTCAAGGTTTCTTTGGCGTCGAATAGCGTTTCAAGGGCGGCGGGTAAAAGACTCTTTGTTGGGCCATAAGTTTTTATTACGGCTTGGGGGCTTGGGGCGGATGAGTCTTCATCATAGACCACCACCCCCCGCCCACCCTCCCCATGCTCATGCAATCATGCAACAGTCGAATATGGACCCCTGATCCCGACAAATAGGCATGTGGCAGTTCTGAAGACCAAGGGCTTAGGGATACCTAAGCCCGAAACCCTATACCTAAATACTCCCTTAAACCCTAAACCCTAAACCCTAAACCCTAAACCCTA